ACCCAAACCCAAACCCAAACCCAAACCCGAACCCAAACCCAAACCCAAACCCAAACCCAAACCCAAACCCAAACCCAAACCCAAACCCAAACCCAAACCCAAACCCAAACCCAAACCCAAACCCAAACCCAAACCCAAACCCAAACCCAAACCCAAACCCAAACCCAAACCCAAACCCAAACCCAAACCCAAACCCAAACCCAAACCCAAACCCAAACCCAAACCCAAACCCAAACCCAAACCCAAACCCAAACCCAAACCCAAACCCAAACCCAAACCCAAACCCAAACCCAAACCCAAACCCAAACCCAAACCCAAACCCAAACCCAAACCCAAACCCAAACCCAAACCCAAACCCAAACCCAAACCCAAACCCAAACCCAAACCCAAACCCAAACCCAAACCCAAACCCAACCCCACAGTTCTCAAATTACTCAATCTATGCTCCAAGAAGATGGTTTTGATATATCAGATGAAAGTTATGATATTACCTGGAATAACATTCCTATAATTACTGACCTATCTTTAGATAATATCTTTCTTAATTACTCTGCCACAGAATTACATATTCCAATGATTAGATGTCCAAAATGGATATCAGCTTGGGTTAAAATTAATTCACCAAAACAAAAAGCAATACTTTTAGAAGCAATGAAAGGAAAAGATAATAGTAATACTATATTTTCTTCAGAATTAACTAAATGGGTTAATTCATATTTTCCAGAAAACCAATTAGAAGAGATTAAACAGAGTTCATTATATGATAATGCTACTACTAGAAAAGAAATTAATAAGGTTACTAAATATTTGAAAAAACAATATTGTTTTAATAAGATGACAGAAACAATTGTTGACGAAGAATTAGCAAGAATGAATATTCAATTAATTAAGAAAGGCAATGCTTGGACATGGGAACAAATTTTACAAGAAGATGAAGAAGAAGATTATCAACCTCAAACAAAGAAGAAAAAGACTGTTGACGATTATTCCTCTATTAATTGGCAAGAATTACATCCTCAATTTATTAAAATTGAAG